GCTATATACTGCATTGAGCACTCTTGTCTACATGATCTGGTTTAAGCCAACCACGCAGATTATATATATATATTTTTATATATATATATATATATATATAACTTAACTTATATATATATATATATATTATATATATATATATATATCTAAATTAAGCCATAAAATGAATAAATCTTTTAATGTATCAATAAGAAATATAATTAAAATAGCATGCTGTACCTTTAACATCAATGATAAAAACACATTCATTCTGATTTCCATAGCAATCTACTGCTTTAAAAAAAACTTCAGTAACTCCAATGCCAAATTCGGTGCCATTTGTGGCATTGTAATACTCAATAGTCTCATCTCCACAACAGTTATCAGTAGCGATGGCAGAGGTCCATGACACTGCGGCGGTATTAACACCTTCATCAGTATCAACAGTAATATTGTCTGGACATATCAGGTCAGGAGAAGTCACATCTATTAAATAATGAAAGGTGGTTACAAATAATATGTATAGGTTATTCTATTCAATATCCTAAGGCAACGGAATTAGAGCGAGATGTGTGACAGTGTATAAAAGAGCTTGCCACATGGGAGTGGAAAAAGATGGGATGGACAAAATAATTTGTTGTCACAAAACGTATGGTAAAACCAGAAAGAACCATGTGGCATGGTGGTGTACTGAATGTGGGTGCGGAGCATTGGAGTTTAATATGTGTGGTACGCAGATGGGAAATTTTATGAAGATAGCGTGCGTAATCTTGTATGACTATCTTCAATTTGTTGTAGAATTTTGGACACTGCCAAAAGTTGGGGAGAGCTAGCCACGCTTATTGTAATAGACACAGGAATTGTCACACTTTACAGTAGGCGCACATTTTGTGACAGAACATGTAGTGTGATAGCCTAGCACATTGACATAGACTACACTAGGAAAACATGTGAACACTTTTCAAACCCTGAAAGTAAGAGCCACTCACTTCCAAACCACAGTTTGTAACACGTAACGTACGCAGATCAAACCAGAGCGTAGACAACTTTTATAAGTAAAGAACGTAGTATCAAGAGTCACAAACTGTGTGAATCTCAGTGAACACGTCATCAAAGCGACGTCACAACAAGCTTCATTATTTCTCATTTTGGCCTCATCGTATGTTTGGCTGCGTCCCTTACATAAGAAAACTTTAGTAAGAGAACGATGTCCCACATACTGCGAAATACAGCTAAGTCGCAAAAGACATTGGGTCGTTTTTGTGTATTTTGTTAAATGTTGATACATTGTCTCTAGTATTATAATACGACTTGGAAATAACATTTCTAAATATATATACATCAAAAATACATACCAAAAATGTAAACATTGAAGGAGCAATTGCCAATGTTTCCTGCCATGTCGGTTGCATTACAGGTTACTGTGTAGTTTTCCAATGGAAAAATACCTTCAGTCGGGTTACAGAACACAGTTAAATCACTATCATAATTATCTCTTGCTGTTACTTCAGTCCAAGTTACATTGGAAGTGCAATTGTCATCAGCATCAAATTTGACATTTTGTGAACAGTTTAAAACAGGAGCTTCGCAATCTGAACATCAATAAAATAATTTTTTTTTTTAATGAACGATTTCTAAGTGGTATAACTGAATAATCTGAACAAACGAAAACAAATATTGTCATTACCAAACACCATTATAGTAAAATTGCATAATGCGGAGTTGTCATTACAGTCAGTGGCTATGTATGTTACTACATTTTCGCCAATTTCAAATTCATCTCCTGATGTGTAATCTGACGTTGTGTTTACATTGTCACAACAGTTGTCAGTTGCGTTGATGAGTTCCCAAGTGACAGATGCTGCTATAGAACCAGTTTCAGCACAAACTTCTATGTCAGCTGGGCAATTTATGACAGGATCTTCATCATCTGGTTAATTAAAAAATTATTGATTGATTGAAATACAGTATAATATTATTTTTGTAATATATACTTATAAATTCTAATATTAACATACTTTTATCTAAATAAATGTAAATATTCTAATAATTTTGTAAATTTTACAATACTTCATCTTTAATTTTTTTTGTTTAATTTTAGAATTAATACCCTATGTTTGCTATTACTACTACTACTACTACTACTACTACTACTACTACTACTACTACTACTACTACTACTACTACTAATAATAATAATAATAATAATAATAGAGGTCTCCCTCCAAATAAAGACCACTTTTGGGACTGGTGCTTCTCTGTTCTTTAGCACCTTTGGTCGCTATTTAGATTAATAAGGATAAAAGACATTTGTCAATTTGAGATCTCAGATAAGTGGTCATTAATTAGAGGGGTCTTTAATTAGAGGAAGCCATGTAAACTTTACAATACTTCATCTTTCATTTTATAAATTAATTTTAGAATTAATACCCTATTTTTGCTATTACTAATAATAATAATAATAATAATAATAATAATAATAATAATAATTAATAATAATAATAATAAAAATAAAAATAATAATAATAATAATAATTAAAGACCACTTTTGGGACCGGTGATTCTCTTGTCTTTAGCAATTTCGGTCGCTATTTTGATTAATAAAGATAAAATATATTTGTCAATTTGGGATTTATAAACTCTTCTCAATATATTTTATTTTGTTAATAATAATTATACGCCAATCAGAATATGACTTACCATAAATAGCAATGGTAAATGTACAATTGCCAATGTTATCATAATTGTCAGTGGCATTACATGTTACAACAGTGCTGACATCATAAAATGTGCTTTCTATATGATCACATACTGGTGTGAAAGAGTCTCCAGAGTTGTCTGTAACATAGGGTGCTGTCCAGGTGACATTTACCCAGCAGTTCCCGTCACCTGTTATGTTTTGGCTGGGTGGACATTCAATATCCGGAGGCTCGCAATCTAATTATAATCCATAAAATGCTGTCAGTGCAACATATTACATTCATTTGTAAAATTAAGTGGCTTAACTACAGAATATGTTTTTATTATTATTTCAAATGTTCTTGTAAACAATCAAACTTATTTTTAAATACTGATAAGTACGTTTAATGATGTTAATTATTTGAAAATGTTTCTGGTACCTTTAACTTCAACAGTAAATTGACAGAAACCAACATTCCCATTACAATCTGTTGCTTCATATCCTACTGTGTATACACCAAGTGTCAGAGAATTTCCGCTAGTGTAGTTAGTAGTTATGGTGACATCACTGCAGCAGTTGTCAGGTGCATTGGCTGGTTCCCAGGTGGCATCGACTGAATCTGTTCCTAGGTCCGTGCACACCTCAATGTCAGCTGGGCAAGTCACATTAGGGGCTGTCTTATCTGTACAATGAATAAAATATAATCATACAGATATTTCAATGACAAAAAATATCAAAACATGTGTGGGTGTGGGTGTGCGTATGTTTGTGTTTGTGTGTGTGTGTGTGTGTAAGTATTCATGTTCCTATATATATTTGAGCACTGTATTATTATCTATTTGTATCATTATTTGTGTTTCCAGTTTCTAAGCAGATGCTGCACTGATGAGTCCTTAAAGAACGAAACAATGTTGTATACAGATTTGATTAAACTTATTGATTTGATTAAATATATATATATATATATATATATATATATATA